AGAATATTCCTACACTGGAGTGCTCAAAGGCTATTAAGAGCAAGATAGCTCTATGAAATGATCTTTAAATTACATGGGAAATATGAAAAGCACAGAAACAGAAACAAAGGATAGTGTGTATATCACATTTGTATGAAGAAAAAAAATAATGTGTATGTGTGTGTCTATGGATATGTGCAGGTCCATAATCTATCATCTAAAACCCTTGGGACTTTATGTTTTGAAGTCAGAATCTGTTTGGGAATTTAGGTGGTGCTTTAGGATAAACTCACAGCTACATCATTGGCAGCACCTTATGAACAAATATACCAGCAATCAGGTTTTTTCATGAGAAGTGTTTACGGATTTGATGGTGGCGAGGGGAGCAAACCTGAGGAAGAATTCCTAATGATCGAAGCTATTTGGTGAGTGTCTGAGATTGCACGATGCTATCTGCTTTTGTACATGTTTCACATATTCCATAGCAAAAAAATCTTTAAAATATTCTGGAATAGAGTATGTCAATGTGCAGAATGGGACAAAGAACAAAACTCAAACTGACTGCCATCGGATTGACTCCCACGCAGAGGACCCCACAGCACGGGGTAGAACTGCCCCAGAGGGGCCCTGAGACTGTAGCTCTTAATGAGAATAGAAAGCCTCATCTTTCTCTCCTGGAGTGGCCGGTGGTTTTGAACTGATGGTCTTTCACTTAGCAGCGCAATGCATATCCCACGACACCATCCGGCTTCCTCAGGTGGGACAAAATAGGACTAAAGCAAACAATCTTCTATTGCCTCACATCAGTCAAGGTCGGATTCTGCTCAGTGCAGACCTAGTCTTATTATGCTGCCAAGTAAATGATAGAAAATCTTTTCATTTCCTGAGGGTTTGGGATTTGGGAGTTGGAGGGAAGTGATCTGATACTCTACAATATGAAATACAACAGTACAAAAGGTCCATTTGGGCTAGTTTACATTGGGTTGAATATTAGGGGAAAGATATAGAAAATGAGAGAATTTTTTGCTTTCTTATTTTCAACCTTGTTTTTATAGCTTGAATTTATTTGTACCTTTAAGTAAAGTTCAAAAAAACCCCTATTAAACTGAAAATGTCACCAGTAAGACATTTATCATGTGCCATAAAGTCTGCCTACGTGGTTTTTATATAGTATTGGATAATTACCATGTGCGGTACACTCTGAGTACGGAAAGTATTTAAAACATGCACCAACATATACATAAACTCATATACTTTGATTATGCACCTCTTCACAAGACTTAATATGTGGAATGCATAGTATTATATACTATCTTATTAAAATGGTAGTTCTTACATTTTTGATAGGTAATCCTATCCTAACTTTGAGTATATGATCCAAGTTTTCTTCTGGTGTTAAGGTTTTATCATTGTCAATCATTTTGGTAATGAAAAACCTCACTGGATCTGGAGGAACATATTAAGGTTAGCAGAAATGAAGCCACGTGGTGATACCTGGGCAGCATTAGAATGCCCACGATAATGCCCCTTCTATGGACACATCCCAGGAGAGACCAATCCCTGGTAAAGGCTGTCATGCTGGGTAAAGTAGAAGGTCGGTGGGAAGAAGTAAACCCCTCAAGGAGATGAATTGGTACAGTGGCTGTAACAGTGGGCTCCAACGTAACAAGGGTGAGGACGGCCCACGGCCAGGCAGTATTTATTTCCTTCTGTTGTACATTAAGTGTTGCTATGTGTCCAAACCGATTCAACGACACCTCACGACAACAACAACAACAATGTTCTCACTTGCATCCAATTGATTCCTTGCTCATAGGGATGCTCGAGGAGCGGATAGAACCGGTCCCTCTAAAACCCCTGTGGGTTTCCAAAACTGTAACTCGTGACAGTTGCAGAAAGCTGCGTCTTTCTCCCGAGGAGTGGCCTGTGGTTTCAAACTGCTGACCTTGTGGTTGGCAGCCCAATGCATAACGACTACAACACCAGGGCTCCTTAGAACAGAAGAAGGGCACTTAGAGGAGAGGACTCCAAAAAATATGTCGTGAAAAAAATCTATTACCTTTTAATTCCATTTTTTTCACAAACTTTAAAAAAAAATTTTATTTTTTTAAAAA